AAATATATTTGAAAAAAAAAATCTAAACATTTCCGACAGATTTCTGATGGAATTTAATTTTTTATTTTCCGACAGATTTCCGACGAAATTTAATTTTTTATTTAAAAAATTAAATTTCGTCGGAAATTTTTAGATTTTTTTTTAAAAAAACTATTCTCTTTTAGAAACTATTATTAAAAAGGAAACAAAAACTTTTTTTTCTTAAAAATCTCCGACAGATTTCCGACGGATTAAAATATATCTGGAAAAAAAATCTAAACATTTCTGACGGATTTCCGACGGCATTTAATTTTTTTAAATAAAAAATTAAATTCCGTCGTAAATTTTTAGATTTTTTTTTAAAATGTAATTCTTTTTTAAAAGCTATTATTAAAAAGGAAACAAAAACTTTTTTTCTTAAAAATCTCTGACGGATTTTCGATGGATTAAAATATATTTGAAGGAAAAAAAATTAAAATTTCCGACGAAATTTTATTTTTTATTTAAAAAAATTAAATTCCGTCGGAAAATATTTTTAAAAATGTTTTATTTTTTCTTACAAAAAATATATTTTTAGAGAAAATAAAAAAGAAGAAAATATAAAATTTCAAATGGATTTAATTTTTTCATTTTAGAAAAAGTTTTTATATTTCATTTTAGAAAAAAGTTTTTATATTTCAGATGGTTCAATTGGCTTTAACGAGCACTATTGGACGTATTGGGTTTTACTAAGTTCAATTGGGCTTTAATGATTTTTGTTGGGTTTTAACGGGTATTATTGGGTTTTATTCGGTTTAATTCGGTTCAATTGGGCTTTTACATGTATTATTGGGTTTTAATGAATTTTGGTAAAGTACAGTCATCTTCGGGTTGCGGGTCACAAGGGGAGTACGTGACTTCAAGGTGTAGCCGGGTTGCGGTAAGTTTACGATACCTATATATAACTTTAAACTCTATATTGAGTTGTCGTATGTTGGAGAAACATTAGGATTATTTAAGTTAAAATGTTAGTGTATGTGTGTGTGATATATATTTCTATCTAGTTTGGGTTGTCATTTGTTGGGCAAATGTTAGGATTGTTTAAATTAGAATGTTAATATATATATATATATATATATATATATATATATATATATATAGTTTGGGTTGCCATTTGTTGAGCAAATGTTAGGATTGTTTTAGTTGGAAACATTCCATTTCTAGTCGTTATGCTGTCGAAATTGACTGGTAGTATTTTTTAAACCACAGGGTACCTATACAAACAATCTCACCGAAAAGTACGGTGAGGATCCCTCGGCCTATCCCCTAGTTGATACTGACTTGTGGAATGAGGCGGTTGGGGGATCCAGGGATGGTCGTTGTAACACCCCACACCACACATTGCATGTAACATATATTTTATATACAAGAAACACATGTTTGTACACCACATAGGTCCCCTAGTACAAGAATCTATCATTACAGAATACAAGGTCCAAAAATTCCTAATACAACTCTTGTACTAATCAAGTTTTATTTACAAAACTATACATATTACTAGCAAATCTTCATGTTGTTAAACACATAGGGAAAATGTTACATTTTTCCCTTCCCTTCTTTACCTCCTGCACTTTCTGCAATACATATTTAAAATCACAAAATGAAAGTTAGACCGAAAGGTCTATTGAGTTACCTTATTTATGTCATTGCAGGGTGATAATCACCAAAACTTTTAAGTAAAACAACTTTTCAAATAGCAAATATATGAACAAGTAAGGGCATAGTACCAATACATTTCACTTTTCAAGCCAAATTCTCTGCTTACCAACAATATATCAACTCCAAATAGGTTTGCACTAACCAGATTATTATAATGACACTTTTAAACCTCTCAAATCAAATAAGGTTTATTCAAAGTTTCAGGCCAAACATGTTATCTTCTCCTCAATAACATCCAGATTATGACCTCCAATAAGAACCCTGATCCTAAATTTTTAAGTCACAAATAAATAAAGATTCCAGACTATGGTAATCTTAAATGATATAATAGTAAGAGTTATATTACATAATACACACAGAAATGCCACCCTTATATCCAAATGTACACTTCTCCTTGATATGTCACCATTATCTCATGGTACACCTCTCCTTGATATCCACCCTTATCCCATGGTACACCTCTCCTGATATGCCACCCTTATTTCCCCATCAAAATATTTTCACAAAACAATTCCATATAGAATAGAACGCAGTCAATGGAATTATTATCAGTTCAAATTCATTTTTATCAAAAATTCCCACTTCTTGTTAAAAGAGTAACAAAATGATAAGTCAAAACACAATCCGGTCAAACCTTGGCCGGACTACTAATTCGGTCAACTCTTCTCATTGTGTCCGATTTGTCACTTAGAATAATTCTCAAAATGGTAATCTAGACAACACTATTCATTGTTTGGCCGATTTAACAATCCGGGTAATGTCATTTTGTCCGATTTAACTAAACCGGCCATCCCTTAGGCGTATTCCTACTTCTCCGTTTGAAATCACATAACATGAGTTCAAAAATCTTAAATCGCTCATCACCTAAATTGGTTAACACATTTAGTCGATTTACCCTTAAACCGGTTAAGGCATGTCCGGTTTAGACTTAATCCGTTCAACCCTCATCCGGTTTAAGACTAAACCGGTGGATTACACCAAGCGATTTAGCCTTTAATCGCTTACCTCTTGACCGGTTTACTCATAATCCGGACAACACTCATACGATTTAATCTTTAAACCGGGTGAAAAGTTTAAACAACAATTTTATGCAATTACAAAGAGTTTCAAAAGCAATTAAACCACTCACCTCGAATTTCTTTTGAAACTCAGATACTTGAAACCAACTTGTAATTCAGTCAACAATAATCCGGTCAACACTCCTCACTTAAATCGCACAATATTCTCAAATTTGGCAAGAAGAAGCAAATGGAGGTTAGTCCTCCTATTTATACTTTCCTTTTTCTGGAAAGTCGGCTATCACAGCCATATGCATACCTTTTTACTCTCACATTCAATATTTAAATCCAAACATGCATATATATATATATATATATATATATATATATATATATATATATATACTCATGCATACACCACATGCATATACTCAATCATATACATATGCAAAACACATAGTTATTCACACAATTTTGATGCATACCACCTTTTGCTTACGCATTTATTCATATAATTTCACATACCACGCTTCAATATAATAATTTATCATGCTAACACGTAATCATATAACAATTAATCACGTATTAATTACCTCGGGTGATAAACATGATCTAGTTATCACAGCCGTCTATTTGGGTTCGGGTACAATGAATATCTCAATTTTAGTTAAAAGACGACTAACGTAGAAAAAGTTGATAATTTGTCTACTAGAGAGGACACGGTGATTCTTCCAGTTTTGTATATAGTTATTTAGCTTAGGATACAAATAAAAGTAAGCGAACAAGGTCAAATTCAGATAAATTACGAATGATTCTTTATCGTGTATGAATGAGGAGTGATTCAGGGATTTTGATATTTTTCAATTGGTGGAACGAAAAGCAATTCCAATTCCTATAATGGCTACCATGAACTATTATTTAGTAACTGTCTAAACTAGTATCGTAGCTTCAGAATCTTTTTTTTCTTCGGTTTAATGGTTCCAAGTTATCAGAGGTCACGAATTTAAGTGGAACTAAAAGAGGTTTGTATGTGCTTGAAAGACTACTGTGATAACAACGAGCAGATCCAACACAAATAACCATTGAAAATGAACTCGCTGAAGTTGAATACGACATTTTTAGAAGGAAGCCAAGACACAACTTCAAACACCACCATCGAATAACATCGATGAGGAATTACTAACTGTTCTAGAAATGATTATAACGAACTGCTAAAATATGTATAACTCTATCAGATTACTCTTCAAAAAATCTCTTGAGTAGGAGAGTGCAGATCCAACAGAGATATGGTCCAAATTTATTTTACATTTTCTATATTACTTTTTAATTATTAATATTTAATAAATTCTATAAATTAACCAAAATATAGAAAAGATATAAAAATAATATTTTGATGACGGTAAATTAAGAGTTTAGAGAGGATAAAATACAATAAATAAAATCTAAAAAATAAATAAAATGTAAAGATGTAGACATTTTTGATGTCTTAAAATAAAACTATATATTATTTTGAGACTATATTGGTATAAATATAGATTTGTTTCACACCTATTCCATCTTGTTCCATGTGCTTTGTTCCCGGGTAAATTGCATGAAAATGTAGCATAATCTGTCTTGATTTCTGTTTTGGTAACGTACTTTCAAAACATTTGTTTTAATACCTAAGATGTGAAGTATCAAACATTTAAATACCTAAATAACCGGTTTAAGAATTAATCGGTTACCAATGTTGATGCAACATCCAACTCAATATTATTTAGATAGTAACATGATTTTTTTTAAATCTAAATCAGTTGTAATTTTATATATTTGATTAAAATTTATACTTTATAATTATTTATGTGAAATATATAATTTACAAATAGTTACAATATATAAAAATTCTAAAAAAATAATTAAATTTGAAACTAATTTCAAATTTAAAAAATCCATTTCACTAGCTATGTCAGCAAATAATATTGAATTGGATGTCACATCATTTGTCATATCAGCATCAGTAACCAATCAATGCTTAAACCGGTTACTCAGATACTTAAACGCTTGAAACTTCACATTTTAGATACCGAAATGAAAGTTCTAAAAATACGTTACCCATAATATGAATTAAAACAAAACAAAGTATGTTACTTTTTTTAACAGTTTGCCCTTTGTTCCACTATGTTCCTATTTGTTCCACATAAAAATTATCTGATATATCCTATTCAGTATACCAAATACACCTAATGGATATAAACATTAAAATGCATTATTATTATTTAGTAGGAGTACATATTTGGGATCTTTATTTTTGTATAGAAATTTATTAGCTTGTGATTACTGTTTATTTCATGCTTTCACCTTCTTCAGTTTTGGAATCACTTCAGTTGCTTTTTCAGCTTCAGACACCACGTTATTGACTTCATCTTCTTCCTCACCATCCATTAGGGTTCTTTTCAAAAACCCCCCTTTTGTCTCAGAAAGAAATTTCTTGAACCAAATCGCCGAATTTTTCGGATACCGTTGCAGATTGTTGGCATAATCGACATACATCATACCGAATCGGATATCATAGCCAGATTCCCATTCGAAGCTATCCATAAACGACCACACGAAGTAGCCCATAATGTTTACATTGTTCCTGTAACGTTATGCAACATTGTTAAGACATCCAAAGGTGTGTCAAAAGATTACTGTAACGCTTTTGTATATGAAGTTTTATTATTCAGTTCAATAAACTTAAGTGCTATAAAATAGTCTATTATGACACTTTTCAGTGTCCTATAAACCCGATTGGTTACAGACCGTAGTGATGACAAATCAATGAAAATGAAGTGGCTTACCGCATAGCTGTACGGATTGCTATAAGATGTTTTTCTATGTATTCCATTCGGTACGTATCATCCCGTACTTCTTGGTAAGTTTTTCCAAGATCAGTCTTATCCGGAGAACCTGTCGCAAGATATCGAGAAACCATCATAGATTTTGAATAGTCGAAGATATATCAAAAAGAAACAAACAAAATGGTCATGTTTTTGTACCGTTTTCGGTAATTATAATAGGTTTGGATACGTTATATGTACTCTTAACACGATACAAGAGCTCTGTAAGCTCATTAGCACAAAGATAAACCCATGAATCTGGATAAGCCTGCGAAGTTGTGTTAAGTAGCCATCAGAATAAACAAAATGATAATATAAGGATGCCCATATATATATATATATATATACACCACAAAAACAAGTCGTCGCTAAACGTGTCCTAAGCTTACTTTTACTTGTAGTAACATAGTCAGGTTTAAGGAAAACCAAAAAAATAAAAAACTGAGAAATACCCTAATACTCATTCATCTGTATGGTATATACATGTGCATAAACCTAATTTGTCGGGTATGCACGTGTGCATAGAAACTAAGAGACATTTTCAATTATCTTTATGGACATATGCAAACCTTACGTATGATAATTATTAGGTGTTTCTCAGTTTTTCATTTTTTGCAGTTTGGTCAACCAAAATACTGCAAAAAAAAATGAAAATCCGTTCATCTAGATGCTATACACATGTGCATATAACTTATAAGCAATTTTTCCTAGTATGCACACGTGCATAAAAACAAGAAATAACTCCAATTGCTTGTATGCACACCGTCCACATGAACCGTTACCGGGATGTTTCTCAGTTTTTCATTTTTTGAGGTTTCCATAAACCTCCCTAATGTGTGTGTTATATATGTATGTATCTATATATATATATTCTTTTACAAACCCAATAATTCATATATGAAACAATATGCGTGAAAAAACAGTGTTTATATAGTGTATGAAACCACATTGTGTAAGCACTGCATTTTCACACATATTATGAAAACTGGTTTGTAAATTTACATGATTTATTGGCTTTGTAAATGATTATGCGTCTATATGTGTTGTCTGTTTGTGTTATATTGTTTTATCAAGTGAAGTTACGTTGTCTTACCGGCTTTCCTATAGGAATATCATTGGGATCGTTTCCTGAAACATGAGTGAACAAAATTGAGTTACGAGTTACGAATATCGAAAGAAAAAAAATTAGCAATCCAATCACTATATCCACAGAGATAATCACTACAACAAAATTAGGTATATTAATGTTAAAAATGTCTAGGTGTCCTAATAAATTACTCTACATGACTTCAATTTATAGAAACAGACAAAAAAAACGTCTTATACTAAAGTTTTACAATAGATATATAAGACTTTTTGGACATTCTAACAAGCTTTTTAGTACATTTCTAAAATAAAGTGTCTTATTATTTATTTTATATTATTCTTTTGAAAAAAATGTCATATAAAAATACGTGTTTATAGGACAACTTTCTCAAAAGTGTCCTATAAAATATCTAATGTGACTCATTAATTTAAAATATCTTAAAACTTGTTAAAACGCTCAAAAACGTCCTATAAACTTATTGTAACACTTTTATATAAGATGTTTTATTGTTTGATCCCATAAAATGTTTTATTGTTTGATCCCATAAAACAGTCTATATAAATACACTTAGTCATTTTCAGCGTCCTATAAACCTAAGTTTGTTATAGTTAACTAGTATATGATAAATAAATAGATCTAGATCGTTTTCCGTTACCTGTTGCTTTGAAGTGACAATCGGTAGCATACCCAAGAGGAATATCAGAAGAAGGAGCTTGATATTGAGCATAATTCGCAGTGTAGTAGTTTATTCCTAGAAAATCGTATGAGTCAATCAACTTGGTGCGTTGATCATCCGAGAATTTAGGCAAAGTACGACCATTCGGGTATTTAGCAGTTGGAGTAGTGGCAAACTTTTGCATATTTTCCGGCCATGTTCCTTTCACTAATGGCTCAAGAAACCTGTAATATGAGTCGTCATAACATACAATTTTAAATGTCACTTTTAGCAAACGAACTATGAGTTGGTAGGTTAATCACACTACAACTTATGTATGGTTACCATCCATTTACAAAATCAAATGCGTATTCGACGGCTTTGACATCTTGTCGATTACTCGGGCCACGATAAGGCTTGAAAAATAGAAGGTCAAGGGTAATTCCTACTTTACCCTTTTGAAAACCCTAAAATAATGTTTCATGTGGTTAGATATGATCAAAGTAAAACATKASAATAAATCARTWGACAATGYACATTCTAAAAGTGCAYGTAAAATGTTTTATTTAGGTAATACCTTATAATCTTTCTCATACTTTCTATAAGCAGCTGCATGGCAGTTGAGTAGGTTGTATGCAACTGTATATGGCTCTATTTCAAGATCGTTATCTTTACTTTTTTCACCCCGTCCAGGTGCAWATRTACCTGTTATGTACCCKYTATWTGTGAACRTATGTGGCTCGTTTAGAGTCRACCAATTCTTTACCCGATCTCCAAACTCCCAAAAGCAAATATCGGCATAATCAACAAAATCAGCCCTAATCATTAAAACAAGTGCTAAATTAGAAGATATATATGAATAAGATGCATAAACAAATTATTAGCACTTACACGACCATTGAACTTAAGAAACCCATGTATTCTTCTTCCAAAGCGTTGGGAAGATCCCAGTGAAAAATTGTGACAAATGGCTCAATGCCATTGGCTAGTAACTTGTCAATCAATTTGTTGTAGTAATTAATGCCTTCCTGGTTTTTACCCATGCTCACTTTCCCACCTATTTAAATCAAAATTAATCAACTTTAAGACGAAATTACATCAGTTTTTATGTTCTAAAAGACGACATAAGTCGATCACTTTTGTTTATTATATTAAGGGGATGATGAAAACGGTTTTCTATTTCACCTGGTAATATCCTTGACCATGAAATAGAGAATCTGAAAGAGTTCAGACCCATTTTCTTCAACAACTGAACATCTTCCTAAAGATAGTTTACAAAGAAGATGAGGTATAAGAATCAAACTATACTTTGGTTTTTTGGGTACCTTCAAACCGATAACATGTGTTTACCTTCATTCTTGAGTAGCTATCAACTGTGACACATGCATTTGCACCTCCGGCGATCTTGTCTACAGTCACCGCCAACAAGTGTTACCCGCTTGATAAAAGATTGTACTAATCAAAACCAAATGAGATGTAGAGAGATGTACCAGGRTTTCTTAGTGTAAAAGAATCCCAGATACTCAAGCCTTTACCATCTGCATTCCATGCACCTTCAACCTAGAATTCGAAAAAAACAAACAACTTTAGGTCTGCTTATTTTGGTTATTTAACATTTTTACTTTATGCATCACATTCATATCGAAAAGAAGAAAATATATACATACCTGATAAGCAGATGTGCCTACTCCAAACAAGAAATTACTTGGAAAGTTTTGACGTTTAATCTCATCATYMAAGTGGTGAGCTTGGTCAAACTCTTGCATTGTTGCTTCAGCCATTGCGAATGGTTAACCCTATAAGCTAGGTTGAGAGAAACCCTTTACGAGTTTAAATCATAATGATGAAGCATGGTGAGAACTTAATGGCATATGGTTCGATATTTATAGCGACCCATCCAAGTTGGAAGTTTGAGAGACTTCAAATTAAGTTAACGAATAAATGCTACGTTGGATAAAGAGTTAACGCTTTGCGTCAAAACTATTTTCAAGACAATAAAAGATCGATAATTTCTCTTGTTATAAGTCATGTCAGTTTCTTGTTAATGTTTATGAGAGTCAAATAATATCGGTAACTAGGAAAAAAATCAATTCCCTTTCAAGAAGACTTATTCAAATAATAAATATTTTGTCAAATAATATAAAATAGTGAACTCAAATTTCACGGCTGTTTGACGGTTGCTGAATGGTTTGGTGCAGAATGATTAAGAGGCTCTCATGATATAGTGCAAAATGGTATATAATCATTTGGTAATTATTTACAATGAAATTAAGGTGCTGAATGATTAAGGAGGTTCCATGATACAAAACCATTAAGAGGGTTTTATAATCATTAAGAGACAGACTTTTTTTTGCCAAACAAGATTCACTTCTTAATTATTCAGAAGTTGTCTCTTAATAGAACTATTAAGAGGTAAACAAACAACCCCTTAAGTTAATTCCTATGAATCAATATTTTTGCCCTAATATGAATGAAAGAATTAATTTGTTCTTCTTTATAACAAATTTAACTATTGCATAATTATATCGACTAAATGTAATCTCGTTGACGAATGTTTTTGGAGATACAGGGTTGTAAAATGTATGTATGGAATAACGCCGGTTTGACATGTCTAAGTTCTTATACAGGTTCATATTTTATAAGTATTCATGATAAAGAATGTGATAAAATACTCATGACTAATAACGTGATAAAGTATTCATGATGAATAATATTCATCATGAATATTCACAAAAACCTAAATTTCTAAAATATTTATGATTTCTAAATGAACATGTCCATGTCCATGTACATATACATATATATATAGGACGCTTTTGAGCATTTTAATAAGTTTCTTGCAGTGTTTTTAAAATAACATGTCATATTAGCTATATGATATAACATATTTTGAAAAATGTCCTATCAAATGTGATTTTATAAGAAACTTCTCAAAAGTGTCCTATAAAATAGTTAATAGAAGGATTTGTTTTAAATGTGTTCTAAAAACTTCTTAAAAAATACGCAAAATTGTCATATAGAGATATTGCAACACTTTTGAGATATGATACTTTATTATTTCGTCATATAAACTTAAGTACTATAAAACATTATGTTATGACATTTAACCATTTTAAGCGTCCTATACATCAAATTTCGTTATAACGATTATCAAAACAAATAAATACTTTGGAACCTGTGACCTACTTGGCATCGTTGGTTTGGTCATGATTAGGTTTCGTTTCTTAAATTTATTGGTCAGGGACCAAATAACATTTATGAAGACCTACTCAATATCGTTGGTTCGGTCAAAATTAGGTTTGTATTATAATTATCAAAACAGATAAATACCTTTCAACATACAGTTTAAAATGCGTCTGTATTTGTTCTTCTTGAATCCCTCTATTATAGTTGTTAAATTTTAGAAGAATGTTTATATGATCAATGAAGAACGTTTATATGAATACCTAATACACCAATGAATGACTTATTCACCTAAAATCTTTCCCAAATTACCCTTCTCGGAGATGTTCGGACCCACTCTCTGTCTATGTCTCGTCATATATTCTCCACGCCCTTTCTCGTCCTTTAACACTTATCTTTAGAGCTTTATCCATGAGATTTCTAGTCTCATAAGAAATCTGTATTTGTAGCTTTAGTAAGAAATGCGGAAAAAGATCCCAAAAAATCATTACACTTATATCTTTTGTTTATGCACTACGATGAAATTTTAGTTAAAAGACGACTAACATAGAAAGAGTTGATAATTTGTCTACTAGTAGGGGTGCTCAAAAGCCTGACCAACCCGATCAACCCAATCCAATGCGAAATAACTCAATCCGAAGCAACCCAATGTTTAATCGAGTTGTAAAATTTTCAAACCGTAGGTATTGGGTTGGTAATGGGTTACTATTATTTAAACTCAACCCAAACCGATGAACCCAATATTCTTTTATTTTTTGAATTTAATATGATTGTTGAATTTATATTAATATATGCATTGGACAATTACACTATCATGTACGCTCTTCATATACACATATTTTCAATCTATTCACATCTTTATATAACTCATTCGTATATATGTTCAGTAACTGTGAACATATATATGTAAATTGAGAAAATTAATTACTGAATGTGATATACGTAATAAGTATGGATAAGTTGTATCAAATGGTTGATAATAAAAAAGAAATTATGAGTAGAGAAATAACATATTCAAAGTTAGAAGAATATTTTTTAATGTACCAAAGTATCAACCCAACCAACCCGTACGGGTTGGGTTAGGTTGGATTGGGTTGCACTTTGGTTCGAGTTGGGTTGAGTTAAGATTTTTCCAAACCGCAACTATTGGGTTGGGTTGTTCAAATGTCTTCAATCTGATCAACCCAACCCATGAGCACCCCTATCTACTAGAGAGGACACGGTGATTCTTCCAGTTTTGTATATAGTTATTTAGCTTAGGATACAAATAAAAGTAAGCAAACAAGGTCAAATTCAGATAAATTAGGAATGATTCTTTTTCGTGTATGAATGAGGAATGATTTTGATATTTTTCGATAGTGGAAGGAAAAGCAATTCCAATTCTTTATCGTGTATGGTAGCTTCAGAATCTGCTTTTCCTTCGGTTTAATGGTTCCAAGTTATTGGAGGTCATGAATTTAAGTGGAACTAAAAGAGGTTTGTATGTGCTTGAAACACTACTGTGATAACAACAAGCAGATCCAACACAAATAACCGTTGAAAATGAACTCGCTGAAGTTGAATACGACATTTTTAGAAGGAAGCCAGGACACAACTTCAAACACCACCATCGAATAACACCGATGAGGAATTAGTAACTGTTCTAAAAATGATTATAACGAACTGGGATCGGGACCGGTTATGAGACCGATTATGGACCGGTCCGGCCCGACCCGAAAATTAAAATAATTTTATAAATAAATGTATTTTTTTTAAATTTATAATGTATTTTTGTAAGACAACGTAATTTTAATTATATTAAAACACATTTTTAAAGTGTATTTGGGTGACCCAATTACAAATTTTATAATGTAATGAAAATATATATCATTAAAAAAAATTTAAAAATAATATTTTTGTAATATCGGGACCGGTTGGGACCGAGACCGGGACCTCATAACCGGTTATGATTCACCTTTACCGATCTTCACCTTTTCGACCGAGACCGGTTATGGCCGGTTATTCAAAACCTTGGGACCGATCGGGACCGGTTTTTGGCCACCACTATCTATCACACGATGATAGTTCTATTAAATTGATTACTAAAATGGTATTCGTGCAATGAAGCAAGATATATCTTCATAAAAATAAATTTCAAGACATCATAAAATTTTGAAAAAATATATATCGATTTTAATAGTTCTCGTTTTTTTGTACAATTTCTTTAATTCAATTTTTTATTATACTTTCATGTATGTCAAAATGAAGTAATTTATTTCTGGCTTAACGACAATTTTTTATAAAGATAATGATTCTGTTATAACTCAGTGATTATCCTAATTATATTTTAGATGTTTTAGATTTAAAATGAGAGGTTTATTTTGTATCTGATTATGTTTATCTGCAGTTAGTTACATGAATTCAAAAATGGATCTTTAATAAGTTGTACTTACGCACAATCTATTTGTAATCTTAAATTTTAAGTAATATGCATTAATACACAATACTTCATGCATAAAGAATGGTTTTTAAGAGTTTTTATCAAATGTTATATAATATAGTATAGATATGTTAAATATGTGTTTTAAAATGACAAATTGTATGAAAACGAAATCAGCTTTACTTTCGTTCTTATTTTGAAATCTCATGAATCAAACTTTCATTTTGAGAAATCATTCAGAACTTCTCGGATTCATCAGTCTCGAAGTGCATTCATATTTTGTGTAACATATTTTTAAAATCTTAATTTTAGTAATTCATATGTAACATCTCAAACATTCAAATATCTGGTCCAATTCCTATTTTTTTAACGTATTTTGATCTAAATGTTTGAAATGTCACATTTATCTCTTAATAGTTTCATTAAGAGGCAACCTCTGAATCGTTAAGAGATGAATCTTGTTTGGCAAAAAAAAAAAAAAAGTCTGCCTCTTAATGGTTCTAAAACCCTCTTAATGATTTTGTATCTTGGATCTCCCTTAACCATTAAGAGCCATAATTTCATTGTACACAATTACCAAACAATTATATTTCATTTTGCACTATATCATGTGAGTCTCTTAATCATTTTGACCACTTAATCATTTTGCACCAAACCATTCAGCAATTGCCAAACAACCCCCGAAGGTTTTAAGAATACGATGCATAAAACCACAATAACAAATTGCAAACTGTATGGACCAAAACTGTAATTTAGAAAGCATAAGGACTAAAGTCGCATTTTTAACAAACCACAAGGACTAAAATCATAGTTGAGAAACCATTGATGGTGGTGTGATATGCATTCTTGCTGCTTACTATCCTGGATTTCCTTCACAATCACAGTGGTTAGAACAACATTCGAATCATCAAAAGGATCAGATCGAGAATCACAAATGAGCAATAAGAAGAGATTACTGATAATCGGAGGCACTGGTTACTTGGGTCAGCATCTATTACAATGTTTTTCAGATTTCCCAAAACCATTCGATTTCGATCTATCAATGGCGTTCACACACCATTCCTCTCCTCCTCCACACCTCTTGCTTCAATATGTTCCTCATGCTGCCCATTTTCAAGTTAACTTGCAAACAGGTCAAGGGTTTGACTCCATTTCTCATACATTTGGCCAGGTTTGCTTTCTGTGGCAGTAATTGATTGGATCTTAATAAGCTATGCTGTTCATCTTTTTGGTTTTGATTCCATGAGGCATTTTGATTGTGAGTTCGATAAAAGGTCTTATTTGAATAGTGGGTGTACAACGATGGCGGCTAATTGTTGAATGTTTATTTGGGGATTCCAGTTTCATAGATTGGAGAATCGGGGAAAATTCTATTCGAATTTGAACTAAACGAGCTCATTTGAATTCCTAATTTCGAAATTCCATGCACCCAATTTCATTTCTAGTTTGTGATCTGGAAATGCCAAATTCTATGGCGATTTCTGTACTATTTTCTGTGAGCAATAAGATTTGGGGATAGCGAATGCCAAAAATTTGATTTTTCTGTGTTGTCTTTTTGGGCATTTGGTATTCTAGAGATTTCTGCATTCATCAATGGGGGTATGTATTTACAACTCGGAAAATATGCGGAACCTATTAGATTACTGTCCGAAAGAGCCATGTGGGGCCATTACATACCTTGAAAAGAAGGAAGTTCGGACATATATTAAGTAGAAATTGTTCAAGTCTAGCTATGCGAGACTCTAACAACGAGTAATTTGGAGTTCAATTGGCATTTCATTAGATATTCCTTTCAGAATCTCTTGCCCAACCCGATTACACCGCATCATGTACCATATAATAACCATTCAGTCATTGCTTTCTTGATACTTGGGGACCTTTTACCAAACGCTTACTGGGTAAGCGCTTATTGGGCATCATTTACCTTACCAGTTGAGCATGACAAAGACTAAGAACCTTACCCCATAAGTGAGGGAGAAGACTCTTACCATGTAAGGGCTCACCAGGTAAAAGATGTTTACCAACAATCCGTTTTGATGGCCAAGAATGTTACCCAATAAGGTAAGTGAGACTGGTAACTCTTGTCAATGAGTGCTTTCCCAGTGAGTTCAAACAACCCCTTATTTAAGATATCCCACATGACAAATAGTGCTTAATAAGTAGTCTCATGTCAGATATGCCTGAAACTATATTCTAGCTCTTCAACAAAACAATTGCTCTCCTCTTTGAGGTAGAGGATAAGTCTGCATACATCCCAACCCCTTAGGATGTATTGGGTTCGTTTGGTTTGATCTATTGTGTGTCCGCATCATGTATATAGAGCTTTCGGAATGAGGAACGACTCAAGTAAGCGGCTCTGTCTAGAATAAATGTTGTTTGGAAAATGACTGTTTACCAAGTATTCTGGGTTTAATGCTGACCGACAAAAATTACCATTATAACCCTATATATGATGAAGCCATCTTAATTTGTAATGCAGCCCGATATAGTGGTCAATTGTGCTGCGCTTTCCATACCTCGTGTTTGTGAGACCGATCCTACAGTTGCCATGTCCGTTAACGTTCCTTCTTCACTTGTAAAATGGTTATCAAGTTTCACCAAAAGAGAGACGCTTCTTATTCATTTATCAACCGATCAAGGTAGTACAATCAAGCCCTACCCCTTTTGTTTTTCTTTCTTTTTCACTTGAATATGTTTTCTTATTCAACTTCCTCCGTCCCAAAATAAATGTCCACAATGAAAAAGGCATGCAGTTTTAGAAATGTGTAATTATTAAACTTTTTTTAATTAAATAAATGACAATTTTACCCCTAATACTAGAGTGAGTAATGAATTTCTCCATATCATATTATGGGTAAAATTGGAAAGCAGACAACGGACACTTGTTTTAGGACAAACTAAAATAGAATTGTGGACATTAATTTTGGTTCGTGGGAAGGAATAAAGATTAACGAGAGCTTTTTTACCAGTTTATGAAGGGACAAAGTCTTTCTATAAAGAAGACGACGAGACTCTTCCTGTGAACGTATATGGCAAGTCGAAAGTGGCAGCAGAAGAATACATCATTGCAAACTGGTCAAACTTCGCTATTCTAAGAAGTAGCATCATTTTCGGGCCACAAACTATCTCGCCCGTCTCAAAATCACTTCCCGTTCAGGTTGGTTTGCTTTTTGCAACATTAGTTCACATTAGTACGTAGATATAAGTAGATTGAAACTTTCTTTTGAGACGGTTTTTGTGTGTTGTTGCTCACTCCTAACACGTTTTCACCGCCTTTCTTATTTTCAAGTTCTTTCTCCGCAAAAAAGATTGAGCAAGTTTTATCCTTTCTTTTCGCACACTTTACACAAGTCAGGGGTTTTCGTGGCAACAGTCGCTCTATTCTTTGAGGTGGAGGTCAGATCTGCCTACATCCCGACCCCACCTCCGGGTGTGATACAATGAGTTTGTTTGGTTTGGTTTTTAAGACGGTTTTTGATGATCACATTTTACTTATGAAATACAGTGGATGGATAATGTTCTTGCGAAAGGTCAAGAAACCGAGTTCTTCCATGATGAATTCCGCTGCCCCGTTTATGTGAAGGATGTTGTTAATATCATAAAAATATTATCCAACAGATGGATTTCAGGTTACATATTTTCTCAGTTTTTATAGAATTTCAAGTTGTAGTTCATGCATTTCTCCATTATCTACTCATGTTTGACTTTTATGGTCAAACATACTAATTTCCATCTTCGATATCAAAATGAGTTCTTTTCGCTTTCATAAAATTTTCTTGTCGTCGTATCAAATTAGTAAGAAGTATTACATATAAAAAGATGGTGTTGAATTTGTACCAATATTCATCTCGAATTCGAATTTAAGAGGTTATATGTTTGACCTCTAAAGTCAAAAACTGGAACCCTTCTATTTTCTATTTTTATTTTGATAAGATACAGTAAAGATTTGGGGTATTTTTGGTTAACTTTCAGATGGCAAGAAATTGGGATTGGTTCTAAATGTCGGTGGACCAGATAGGATATCTCGTGTCCAAATGGCTGAGGTTGTGGCTCGTGTTAGAGGCTACAACACCTCGTTGATCAAACCAGTGTCTGCATCATCGGTAAGTTCGACCTTGACCCACCTTATGATTTACTCCGATGCACAAGGCCCGAACCTTCCAAGTCTGTTTTCAGCAAACCAAAAAAGGCCTAGCCTTTTCGGGCCCGGGCCAGGCTCTGGGGTTGAAAGATGACCCGATCGGGCTTGTTTGGGCCAGGTTAAAACCAGGCCCTAAAAATTAGTTGGCCTGATCGAGCTTTGGGCCTGGGCCTGTGATTTTTCGGGCCTGGTCCAGGCTTCGGCTTGGGGCCTTTTTGTGCATCTCTTGAATGTCTTGTCATGCCTGTGATAAAGTTTGAAGTTGTGGTTTTCACTTTCGGATTGGAGGCCGGGCATTGGCATTGAAAGATGGTTCAATCAGGCTTTTTTGAGCCGGGCTAAAACCGGGACTTAAACAAGTTGTGATCGGGCTTTCTGGCCGGACCTGGCCTGGGCTCAGGATATTTCTGGTCCGGGCCAGGCTTGGGTTTGGGTTTTTTTGTGCATTTCTTGTATGTCTTGTGCATGTAATAAGGTTTGAAGTTGCGGGTTTTTCGCTTTTAGATCGATCGCGGAGTAAAGTCACCGGCCGACATATCCATGGATATCAGCAAGTTGATTCAAACGCTAGATTTTACGCCTACGTCTTTCCACGAAGGTGTCAAGTTGACGATCAACAGCCTCACATGAATTCATCGGTTGTACATATTCGCAAGGAAAATTTTGTATGTGATTGTCGTCCCGTATGAAAGTTCGCATTTTGCATGCTCAAAATTACGTTGTTTCAACTTTCAAGCGTGTTCACGGTAACAATCGCTTTACGTCAATTCATTCTGGTTTTGGCTTTAATTTGTGTCGTACCTCGGTTCCCGGGGCCTAAAAGAACTAGGTTTGTTTTATTTTCGCTTATTAAACTTCTTTATGTAATATATAATATTTATATACAGCAAATACTTATACACACTTCTTACCTTTATTAAGGTTTGAGCCATTGATCTTTTGAGAAGTCTGACTTTACCAGTAACCTAATGTTACTGGGTCAATGACTCTTCGTTTCAACTTCTTATTTTATGGGTTTCATTTATTGCGGGGCCGAGAACCGGGAACGTTTTTCCATGTTTTCATAACATCATTTTTGCACAACCTAATGGTTTATGCTGCCTTAGGGGTTGTTTGTTTACCTCTCAATAGTTTCATTAAGAGGTAGCTTCTGAATCACTAAAAGGTGGATCTTGTTTGGGGGAAAAAAGTACGTCTCTTAATTGTTCTAAAACTCTTTAAATGATTTAGGTGGCGTTTGTTTTTTAAGAGGTACTGAAGTCTGAAATTTGATTTCACTTCTGATTTTTAAGAGGTGGTGCTGAAGTCTGATATCTGAGTCAGTCAGACTGTTTGTTTTTGTAAACCAACAAACATTTGAAATCTGAAATATGAATCAATAGTTTGCTTTTGTAACCAACAAACATATAAATATGTATAATTTCTGATTTTACTTCTGTTTATGTTTCCAAGATTCCTTTAATTCTTCCTTCTCCTCCAGATCAAGCCTTCCATCCTCAATCTCCACCCTCATCTCACCACCATCAACCACCGTCCATCACCACTCTTCTAAAATCAAACGCCCAAATCCACCTTTAAAATCAAAGCAAATCTCCATCGTCACGAAAACTACAGGGACGAAAATACCTTGATTCACGAGGATAAAGGTGCACAACTACTGGTTACACAGAAACGAAAACACACAGTGGCGAAAACCCACAGGGAAGAAAACCCTCTTGTTTTGGATCTGATTTGGGTCGATTTGAAGCCACCAGAGGAGATGAAGGGTGAAGTTGGTCGATTGAGACGGTGAGGAGGGTGAAGTTGGTCGATTGAGACGGTGAGGAGGGTGAAGTCGATCGATGGAGGGTGAAGTCGATCAAATGATGAAGTAGAATCGGTTCTCTAGATAGTCTTCAGGATTAAGAGGAAAATAAATTGCTAGATTATCACTTAATTTTTAAGAGGAAAATAAGTTGCTAGATTATCACTTAATTTTTAAGAGGAAAATAAGGGATAAGTGGCTCTGGAAAAAAAACGGTCTGAATTGCCTTATGTCTAACCGAATCAGACATAAGTGGTAAAATAAGAGATTAAAAAAAAACAAACACCACCTTAATCTAAACAAATAAAAAGGTGGATATCCTTGTAAAATTAATGAAAAGTCTGGGATTCAACACTAGGCACCATTCATCTGCACATGCAATTTATCTCCCCATACCGGCTGTGGGTACGAGATAATGTTGTGTATCAATTTGTAACATCCCAAGCCAACCTACACGAATATGTCTGTTGTGTCCACACCTGGAATCAACGTATGATAAAAGAGGTATCCAGTCTTTTATAAGGTTAATCTTAATTCCTCTTCCCAACCGATGTGGGATCTTACAACTGGTTTGCAACAAGTCATCATTTACACGTTGTCGACATAAGATGAGGTTGGACGATAATGTCATTAGTCTTTTGTATTCTAATGGTTTTCCACCGAGACAAGAAATGAAAACTATTAACTGTAATAAACGTTTGTGATTAAGTGATTATCTGATAACGAGCAAGAAACGTGTGTCATCGTGTATCGATACAACAGATGGTAAAATGGGCAAAAGAACTCGTTGCTCAATGGTCATTAGAGATGTGCGTTGTCAAGTTGACTTGTTTTAGGACGTAAAATGTCAGTCAACTCAGTGAGTTCAAGTTTAACAATCTTTTAAACCTAATTAATGGGCTCGATGAAACCGGGGAGATAAAAAACCAATTTGATTCTAATTTAATTCAGTTTTATGTTATGTTTTATAACCATAAGCTAACTTAAGGGGTCCTTTACCAAGCACTTACCCATTAAATGTTTATCTGTAAAATTTAACATTATTATTTACTTATCGAGTAAGATTTTAGTCCACCAAAACGACATCGTATGCAACAATTTTCCCGTAAGCGTTACCGTGGTGAGAGTCATCGTCCTCACTTACCGGGTAAGACTCATGGTTCTTGTCTTGCTTTTATCGGGTAAGATTCTTGGTCTTTATCATATATATCCGGTGAGGTAAACAATAAAGACAAAAAACTACAATAAATTATAAATTATAAATTATAAGAACGAAAACAACAATAAAATGTAAACTATAAGGATGAAATTGTAATTTTGAAAAAATACAAGTACTAAAATAATAGTTTTTAACAAACCTTAAGGACTAAAAATATAATTTATTCTCTACCTTTTGATTTTCTCGGGTCGGATTTCCTTTTTTTCAAAAAACAAATCCGGGTTCTGTCGGTTCACTTCGTGAAATATGTGGCGAACCAAAATGAGAAATATGAAATGACGGAAAAGCCCTTGGCCGCCAAAAAGTTGACGTCATCATTCTTCGGGCAGCTCCATCAAATCATTACCCTGCCCGAATTGAAAGTCTTTCACATCCGTCCTCTTGTTCATCTGCCCGTAAATCTCGGTCAGCCTCACTGCCTCCGTCCTCCATTTCTCAAAACAGTTTCAATGCTTCAACTGAAAAAAAGAAGCTTCTTTCTGACGATAAACCTATACATACAGATTCTCTGTGTCTTATATGTATACACACCACGCAACCCACACTTTTCTGTAGAGTTTTTGTGTTCAAGTTCAAGGAAATGTGGAGGAGAACGGTGGCTCGATCTGCTGCGGCAGCGTTGAATCTCCGGCAATCGCGGGGGTTGTCTATTGCGGCGTCGGGGTCTTCGATTCCTGGTCCTTGTATTATTCATAAACGTGGATCTGATATTCTTCATGATCCGTGGTTTAATAAGGTTAGTTTGTTGTGATGAAGTGATTGTGAGTCAACGGATTTATCTGTTCGAAGTATGGTGTTCTTCATGCCCTTTACTTGAGCTGGCTTTCAGCTTTAAATTGAGTTGAATACTTGTTGAAAAAGGTTTTGAACTAGCTAAAAGCTTAGAACAGATTCTAGAAGTAGAAATTTTAGTTATTTGATGTGTGGAAAAGTTGAAATCAAATTGGAATATGGAAATTGCTCGATTTGCCTTAAAAGTTGAGGGTTATTTTTGTTTAAGTTGGTGGAGTATGAAACTTCTGTTTGATATGTTAAGCAGAGTAGATTGGAAGAATGTAGCATGTATGATCTAGGTTTTAAAATGCAGTTTTCCCTCAACGAGGCGAGACGGTCTGAGGCGTAAGCACGAGGCCGAAATATAAATACATACTGTACAAATATATATAATTTGTATGTGTATATATTATATAATACTGAATTACAAAGAGGCGTTGGTTCAGTGGTTCTTGACAGAACGAGTGAAACTGTGAGATAGGCTGACAAGATATGGAAAATTGGTTGCTTGGAGGAAGAGGAAGGGTTCAACCACACTTCTTGATTGGGAGGAGAAAATCCTAGCTTTTGGATCTTAAAATATTAAAAGTACAAGTCGAGGTCATTGTGCTTTGACTTTTAGTTTTTTAAAATACAAAAAGACTTTCATACTATAAAGCGAAGTAATACCAATGCCATACACTTATAAAAAAGTCCAAAAAAAACCATTACCAAAGTAGATCATCTGAAGCGTACGCCTCAACATCGCCTCATGCCTCAACGAACCGCCTCACTGGGCCAAGGCGTAAGCCTCGTCCAGGATGCAAAGAACGATTTCTAAAACCATGTGTATGATAAGATTTGTAATTCCAATTATTAAATTAAAAACTTTCATGTATTCTTGCTTTATAATCTCACTGTGACCAATTGATCATTCAATATCAGGACTGTTTTATGACCAGTTGGTCATTCAATGTCAAGTTCTGCAATAAAGGATAAAATACATTAGGAAGTTTTTCAAAATTAAGTGGTCAAACATAGTGAGTGTCTTTCATTATGCTTTACTCATTATTGTTTTCCAAGAGCAGGATACTGGGTTTCCCATGACAGAAAGAGATCGACTTGGACTCCGTGGTCTCCTCCCACCTCGTGTCATATCATTTGATCAGCAATATGATCGATTTAGTGAGTTCCTACTGTTTGTGAACTCCTTTCACTTTGCTACCATATCTTTTCAAGTCATTTTTGGTTATAGCTTTACTTAAGTCGGTGATTTTATTGTGGAATCAGCTGTGTAGTTCATACTTAATCTATACCCATCTCAGTTAGACAATTGTGTACTTGTGTTTGGTACTGTGTTACACGCGTATATTTTGCAAACAATGGTAAAATGCTTGTGGACAAGCAGATAAATACTCCGAGCTATTTAAGAGACATATACACATATAGAAGCTTCTTTATAGATAATTTTAGAGGGCATAATCTTATATTCTAATTCTTAACAAGAAAAGGACCAACACGAAGTTCCCATCTCTAGACATGAATTCCGCATGTCTGCATGATGTGTGTTATCAAGCTGCCAGATAAAAAAATGAGCGACTTTACGTGTGGAGCAAAATTATTTCCTGTATAACAGTATACACGGAGGAGCTTCAAGATATATATGATAAGGATGCTATAATAATGTTCAATTATCCATTTTCCAGTTGTCAAGATGTCATTTATGACAAATTAGTTGCAAATGTCACTGATGCAATGACTTAAGTTTTTCTGTCTTCAAAAGATAAGTGTGTTGTCTTTCTACACATGTTTTTATGACTTATTTTCCCAAATTTTTTGGTGTCAATTTTTCAGAGTTTTATTGGTTACAAGAATGGTACTAAGGCTATAAACTCCATTTTCTTAATTTCTGCTAGTGGAATCATATCGATCATTGGAACATAATACAGAAGGTCAACCTCTGAGTTCTGTATCATTGGCAAAATGGAGAATCTTAAATAGACTACACGATAGGAATGAGACATTATATTATCGAGTAAGTATTCTGGTAGATAATTTACTCTGTGAAGCC